GGCCGCACGAGTTTTGAAAGCAGAAACGGGCCACGAACAAAACGTCCCACGACCTCGTCGTTACCGAAGCACTTTTGAATCGCGTTATTCGTCGTACGTCGAGCATCCTGCGATGCAGTCTGGTCACGTTCGACTTGTATAACGAAACTTAACGCGCAAACTGAATCCACGAGAGAAACGAGCGTGCACGTCACGTTTCCTCGGAGGTCGTTCTTTTCCCCTCGCGTGTCTTCCAACCTATCGTTTCGATCGAAATTTTCAAGACGGGACTCATCCAACGACGACGAAAAAAAAAATGACACGCGCTCGACGAAGTGAGACCGATTCCCGATATTTTTCCGATCGGCTCGATTTACAGCCGAGGTACCAATGGACGCAACGATGACTCGCGACGATAACGATAACACCGCGAACGAGTCGACCGGGCAGGAAAGTCTTTTCCTTAAACGCTTCTGTCACGCTACACGGTTCGAGAGTTTCACCGCAAGTGTCAATTTGCTATCGTTATAACCGAGGCTCGGCGACGTTTATGCTGGAAACGCGGAGTCACGGAGCTTACGAAGCTTTCCACCTAAGCAGCGTCCATGAAACGAACGAACGCTTGTTGCTTCGGATATATAAATTCGTGGCGGTCATTCCTCTTTATGGGAGATACAGACAGAGTACGTTCGATTTCTTTTTCTTTTCGAGGAACCCTATCCAGTAATCAAACGATTTTGGAACACTGTATATAGAATATCAATGTACGATGATACTACTTCGAGAGATGTCTCGCGACAAGTAATGGTTCGAAATACTTTAATTACTCGTATCGTATCACGTGCTTGCACATATTTTCGGGGGTGACTTCCTAAATAAAATATTGTAATATTGTTTTTAAATTTTATTAAGAACTTGCATTTGTAATTTATTATTATTCTGGAGTATAATATTTTGAGTTTGTTAGATACATAAATATCATCCGAATTACGTCGACTTTAGTACAATTTTAATAAAAAAAAAATGTCATGAATATGTTAAAAAAAAAATAAAAAAGTTTAGCTTTTCTCTTAGTATTGTCTTATGCGTTAGATTATTAACCGTTTGCACTCCACTGTCACCGCTATGGCGACAAACATAATACGTAGTATAGCTCAATTTAAGTTTCATTTATGACAAGAGAAATTGAATATAGGAAATATACGAATATAATTTAAATTATAGGTAATTATACACTTTTGTGGTGAAAAGAATATTTTGTTTATTTTTAGAAGTCACATCAAAAAATTGCATTTGGTATTGCTAGTTGTTCATATTAGTAAAGACTTTCGAAGTGCAAAAGGTTAACGCGATACACTGACTCCAAGGGGGATCCTTTTATCCTCCTAGTAACGGGGATAAAATTTATACATTGAACGCTGCAGTCTCGAACCCATCGCTCGTCGCGAGGCATGTCTTGAGGCAAGTTCTCATCGCGTAGAGTCTGCTTTTAGCGTCGATACGCGGATGCAAACGATGATCGATAAGAAAGGCCGCAGCGCGGCCTAGTCGCGATTCATGCCCCTTTCTCGATCAATTTTTCCTTCTCTACTCGAACACTTTTTCCCTCCGTGGAAACAATCGAACAATGCTCGGAGCCCGCCAGCCGCGAAGAGACGATAGAACGAGACAGAATGGACGTTGCAGGTAAAAGCAGAGAAAGAAAGGGCGAAAGTTCGTTGGTTGTCTATTGTCGACGTTGCGCGACCGGTTTACACGACCTCCCAGGTAGCGCGACGATTATGTTTTCAGAAGGGGTTCGTCGAGCGGTCGTGTGGACCGAAATGGCGTCATTATCGAGCAGTTTATTAAATACGACGAGCGTTGCACACATGAACGGTCGAGTGTCGCGATTAATTGCACCGATTACTTAGCGAACGGACGCGGGAATCGCCGTTTATTCGATACTTTTAATTAAGTGGCACTGCGCGTAGCCATTGGGACACGCTTAACGATCGTTAACTACGCCCTTGTAATGCGAGCTACCGAGGAAAAAGGCACCTTGCCAACGGCTGAAACCTACCGCCGTGGCGCGGCGGGGTCTGTTCCGTGCTACGCTCCGACTATACGAGCAGATGTTTTCAGTCTATTCCCCGCACTCGACGTAAACGTTAGGATAATTATCCTAATACCAGCGGCGACGATAATAACGATCATTTTTCGTTCGGGTCTTCTCTCGCGTCCACTCCTCGTTAATTGGCGAGATCCGCGAGTCGTTCACCCAAGGTTACTTATGTATAAAATGTAGAGGATGACCCGATCATTCGGGAAAGGAATACAGGGTGTCTCACCCGATTTTGACATCTTGATTTTCTCGCTATTGTTACTCGTAACAAAAAATGTTTCAGCGAAGGCTTGAATGGTATCGAGTGGAGTATATTCTGATGTTATTAGTTTTTTCGTGAATGGACGCGTAAAGGTCATATAAAGGTCAACTTTGTTTTTTTAAATGGAACGAGGTATTTTTTAATACATCGATCGATTCAGCTGGACAATCGTTATAAAAAAGTACTAACTATGTAACGTCGAAAAATTAGTAGTTCAGGAGATATTTCTATTTAAATAATTCTAAAACACCATTACTCGAAGAATGTTCTTTTAGAAGAATAGAACAAAATCGAGCCAGATTTTATAAAAAAATTAGTTGATTCAATGCTCAAACGATTAAAGGAAGTCCTTAAAAGGAAAGGAGGGCCAACTAAATATTAATATTTAATTCCAAGTCATTTTTAAATGTTTTTATTCGAGTGTACCAATACTTTTTTCCACTCATAAAATGTTCAATGAATTCATCTTTGTTAGTGCTTTGTGAATCAATGTATATGTATACAGGGTGTTCGGTCACCTCTGGGAAAAATTGTAATGGGAGATTCTAGAGACCAAAATAGGTTGAAAATCAAGAATACCAATTTGTTAATGGAAGCTTCGTTAAAAAGTTATTAACATTTAAAGTTCAGCCCATACTGAATTTTTTTCTCGAAAATGCGCAGGATTTCGAGGGTATGTCTATTCACAAAAATTGATTGTAATTGACCCCCGCAACCGAAAATAATTTTTCTAGAGCGATTTGAAATTTTTCCTCCTGTCGATTTTTCTTAAAAATTCGTTTTTCATTTTTAATTATTTTGATTGACGCTGTATGGAAAAGTTGTTTAATACTTTTTTGTAGGTGCCTATGGGCTCTGCTTCAGAAACAAATTTCAATGAGATACATTTACTATTGTAGGAGTTATGGTCGTTTGAAAATCGGACCATTTTTATGGGGTTTTTCTCACTTTACGGGGTTAAGGAACAACTTTTCGAATATTTTTAGAATATCTATATATTTTGCACTAAAATACGCGTTGTTTGCCGTTTGAAACATTAAAATCCTCCAATCCGTTCAGCAATTATGACATTTTAAAGATTCGCATGAAATTTTCGGCCATAAATTACATTTTCGATTAGGAATTTTTTTCTCGAAAATGCGTAGAATTTCGTGGGTATGTGTAATGGCCAAAAATGATTGCAATCGACCCTTGCAACCGAAAATAATTTTTTATAATGATTTGAAATTTTTTAATTTAATTTTTTAATAACTTACTAACTTACTAACGAAGCCTCAATAAAGAAATTGATATTCTTGATTTTCGTCTTATTTTGGTCTCTAGAATCTCCCATTACAATGTTTCCCAGGGGTGGCTGAACACCCTGTATATTATTGCTTCTGTTATGTAATAAGCTAAAATAGATAATAAACGAATATGTCAAAAAGCTTTTTCTTCAAATCAATTTGTTCAGCAGTTATAAGTATTTGTGCAACTACAACCGTGCTGTGCCAATATTTATGTCCAGCACTGTATTTAGCTGTTACTGGTTCCGTGTCTAGATCGAGTCTAGGCTCGTGTCCTCTTAAATAAAACAAAGGTTCGAAACAATTCCAGAATGCGGCCTAATTACAAAGGTGTCGATCGTCTTTGCTGAAGTCACCGTGTTGACTTACAATCTCAGACAGTCCAACTGTTAAGTTGGAATGGGTTGAGAATTGCTGAAATCACGGTCGAAAATCTCTACGTTCCCATTTAAATATTTCCTACTCCCTTAGAACGACCATTTTTATTTAATGGCAAATGATACAATGTGAACGTACAGATTTCTCGTACGGTTTTATTACGTTTTCGTGTCACGCACGAAACCCTAGTCGTGTTTCTTTTTTTATTCGTTGGAATTATTTACCAACCACTAGCCCGGAGAAGAGGAGAAAAATACCGAGTACATAGTCTCGCGGGCACGATTAATTGCCCCGATTACGTGACGAGCGCCGCTGAATCGTCGTTTATTAAATACGTTTAATTAAGTGGCATCGAGTAGGCACGGGGCATGTAATGATCGCTGAAACCCTCGTCGTACGTCCCGTGGAAAAAGCCCAAGCCGATGCATGTTACTCGCGTACGCCTGGGTCCGGCTGCCAACGTGTTGCGGCTAGCAGCTTTAGCCAGAACACGTTTCTACCGTGAGCGCGCTATCAAACGCTGCTGGCCAGCAGATAATTGCGACGACAAGATCGCCCGAAATAATTTACTCCCGCCGCACGTACACGTCGCGGATAAAATATGAAACAATGTTCGCCCTTGGGGGCTGCTTAGACCCGCGAAGATAGCATCGCGCGCTTAATCGTGACGAGGTAAAATATGATCGCTTCGTCTTCTTCCCAAGCGTTCGCGAGCCCCGAGCAATTATACGCCACGACGAAAGAAAATAACGAGCTCTTTTGTCCACCACGAGAGGGGCTAAGGGACGAAAAGAGGATTCTCGAAAGAGCGTTTGTCGCCAGACCACCAACTGACTTCTAAAGAACCCTCGCTTTCTTCGCATTATTCTGAATTGGATATTCCTATTCGAATTCGTCGTCTCACGACATTATTTAACCAGTTTGCATTTTCAACGTTTCTCCTCGCGATACTCTTTCCTTTTCAATACAATGGCCATTTTTACGATTTCAGCCGCAAAATCTGGTCCTCACTGGCGAGTTCCCCGACTGTGACGTGAAGCTCTGCGACTTTGGTATCTCGCGGTACATCAGTCATGGCGCGGACATACGGGAGATTTTGGGCACGCCCGATTATGTTGGTGAGTTATTGTTTCTATCTTAATTCTTATAAGGGTTGATCTGAAACTAGTTGTTAAGATACAGTAGATCATCGATTTTACAGGGTGTTAGGCCACCCCTGGGAAAAATTTTAATGGGAGATTCTAGAGGCCAAAATAAGACGTAAATCAAGAATATCAATTTCTTGACTGAGGCTTCGTTGAAAAGTTATTAAAAAATTAAATTAAAAAATTTCAAATCATTCTGGAAAAATTATTTTCGGTTGCGGGGGTCAATTACAATCATTTTTCGTGAATACACATACCTTCGAAATCCTATCTACTTTCGAGAAAAAAAATCCGGTGAAAGCTGAAATTTTTCGGTGAAAGAAAAATTGTCCAAATCGTTCTAAAAAAATTATTTTCGGTTGCGGGGGTCAATTACAATCATTTTTCGTGAATACACATACCTTCGAAATCCTATCTACTATCGAGAAAAAAAATCCAGTAGGAGCTGAAATTTTTCGGTGAAAGAAAAATTGTTCAAATCGTTCTAAAAAAATTATTTTCGGTTGCGGGGGTCAATAACAATCATTTTTGGCGTTTACACATACCATCGAAATCCTACGCACTTCCGAGAAAAAGATTCCTTACCGAAAATCTAATTAGGTACCTAAATTTTTCGACGAAAAAAAAAATTTCAATTCGTTCTAAAAAAATTATTTTCGGTTGCGGGGGTCAATTACAATCATTTTTTGTGAATAGATATACCCCCGAAATCCTACCCACTTTCTAGAAAAAAATTCGAGAAGGTGTGAAATTTTTCGATGGAAAAAAAGAATTTCAAATCGTTTTGGAAAAATTCTTTTCGGTTGCGGAGGTCAATTACAATAATTTTAGGTGAATAGACCTACCCCCGAAATCCTGCCCACTTTCTAGAAAAAAATTCAGTACGGGCGGAACTTTAAACGTTAATAACTTTTTAACGAAGCCTCGATCAACAAATTAATATTGTTGATTTTCGTCATATTTTAGGGTGGCCGAACACCCTGTATAGGACAAATGGGAAAGGGAGAAAAATAATATTTTGTATGTTTCCTTCCTTTCTCTTTTGTATTATTTTACCGTATCAATATTGTCGATTCTATGCTTGTTCTTCATTTATATTGTGATAATCATTTATGTACTTTGGACAATTCAATACACAGAAAATACCAAGTTAAAAAGTAAAACACGCAACTGTATGGATACTTACACATTATATTGCATTATAAATCGTTCATTGTAGAACCGATACAAGTCGATTTATCTGTGTGTCGAGACATAAAAGGTTTTACATTTCAATCGACTGAAAAATATCGATAAGCGCTAATTGCCTGATTGTATGCTTCCTATACGATGGTCTGATAAGTTCACTTATCAGATGTTTAACGAATATAGACATTACTCGTGAAGAAAAATATGTTTCCACTGACCCTGAACGGACTTATGCCACATTTATAATTACTGGATTTTAAAAGTATAATTCCAACGTTTCCTCTGACGATAAGTGACTTCGTTAAAGACAAAATGATCTTGTTTTTTTTAAACGAATGTCACCATGTGTTTCTTATTTTTCTATATGTATGCGAAAGGTGCGCCCCTTAGCTTAATAAATAAATGGAACAAATGATCATGTATGTAATGCACGGTCGTGTGCAGCGAGGAAAAATGGAGGGGCGGCTAATCGGTGGCAACCAGGCCATCAGTTTCCAGCCATGCGAGAAGTTTTTAGAGGCCGAGAGACCGAATCCAACCGCTTTTTTTTTTACCGCGTTCTCTCTTTCTCTTTCGACCCGCGAGACAACCTGGTTCCCCGCGGGCACCATTTGGTTATTTGTACGTCGGATCGGGTTCGCGGCTCGTTTCGTACCGCGTAATTCCATTAGAGAAACAGGGCCGTTGCATAATTGAACAGAACAAGCCACTTCTCGGCCGGCAGTAAAGCCGCACGTGGCTCGATCATCGACCAAGAGGTCCCTTTTACGAACCTTCGCAAGTCATTTCAGCGATTACTTTTGACTCCTGTCTAACGACTTCAGCCACGCTCCGCGGAACTGTTGGCGAACGCAATGTAGAGTTTTTGCGTTTCACATCACGAAGCGAAATATTCCGAATTACTCTCATAACTAATGTGATTTTAATTAATCATATACCAATTACCGATAAACCAAAAAATCTTAATCACGCTTTATAGATGATCGACATTTCCAAATGTCCAATTCTGTAGACACGCTACTCGACGAGAAGCGTGTACAAAATGGATCGAAAGTATTAAATTAAATTTCGCGTTCGTTTTTTTTAGCCCCAGAGGTGTTGAACTACGAGCCGATCAGCTTGGCGACCGACATGTGGTCCGTGGGAGTTTTGCTGTACGTCCTGTTAACGGGATGCTCTCCGTTCGGTGGTGACACGAAGCAGGAAACGTTCTGCAACATCAGCCGATGTCGACTGGACTTCCCCGACGACCTGTTCGAAGACGTGTCCGAGGCTGCGCGCGATCTGATGTGCAAGCTGATGGTCAAGGATCCAAAGTAAGCATCCCGATCTCTGGGTGTGTGTTATAGATAAAATTTTTAAAAACTCGTGTCCCTAATGCAAAATAAAAAGACGTGGAAGGAGTAGAAACGTGTACTGTAACTGGCAAGGGGACCTTACGGTAGTGGAAATTTCTTTTGAAACAGTAGTAGGTACAAGTTACAGTACATACGAAGTATCAAAAAACCCTAAAGGGTTTCTTCAAAATGGGCCTTCGTTTTCAAGATATTTCGATTTCAAATTTTGTACGTACCTAATAAATAAATTATACAGGGTGTAAACGATAACTTTGGCAAAAATCATAGGGTAAGTAGAGGTCCCATAGGCAAGTATTTTGAGCATGGGAACCCGTGTCCGGAAATGCACCAGTAAAGAATTACGGCTATCTTTAATTTTGGTCTTTCGCGCCTGATGGGTAGGCAAACCATCGCACTCGGACTGACTCGGACGAGATGTCTAGCAATTGTTGACTTTTTTTAGTTTATTGTTTCTTGACCATGATTTCATTAAATTTTTACGTTGTTCATCGTAAAACTTTCAATGTTTGTCATCTTTGTCACCTACACGGCTGACCCACCTCAAAAGAAACAGTTTCCAGTACGATGGGTTTTCTATCCATCAGGGTTTCAAAAGCGATTTCTATTACCGTAAGGTACCCTTGGGAGAAATAGAGGAGGGTTAAAAAAGTCTGTCGACGGTTTCTGAGGATCCCTCGTACGGGCCATATTTTCATTGCAAGCGATAGTTTGAGAAGGAAAACACAACAATTAGACTTGGTGTCATCGTCGGAATGTCGTTGTCGATCCGACGATGCGTTAATCGCGTACCCAGATGGATTTGCTTTCGTTCCTAGAAGCTAAATAATGCCAGCTGCGCGCGCGACATAACTAACAATGTTTCCGAGATCCACGGGCTACCTCTGCGCGCGGGCCTATCTTCTTTCGCTTCGAAGTAACCGGTAAACGTTCTCGGTAGGTCGCGCCACGCTTCTACGAAGGCATTATTTTCACCAGTGCCGGAATTCTAAGTAGGAGCGCGCTCTTCGATAATACTTATCCGCCAGTTCGCGTTAAGCCTGTTATCGGGCCACGAAGCACAAGCGAGAGAGCAATTTCGTGGGAGATAAACTCGCGAGGACGGGATTCGCTTAGGAACGCGTGGAAGCGAGCACGCCTCGACGATACCAACTGCGATTATGCCTGATCGGTTGAGAATTTTGCTTTTCAAAATCAGAATCGAGAATAAAAATTGTTTTACGTAAGTTAACGGAAATGCCTCCATGTTGGAAGACCAGCCGCGTCGTAAGAAACGATCCGTCTCTATTTCACACAACTTTGTGTCTGTAAAGCAGTCTATTACCGGCACTGATACTTGTTGCGATACAAGTTTCGACAGTGACACTACTGATGGATCGTCATTCCATTTTTCAATATGAGAGATAAAACAAAAATGAATCATTTCCATTTCGTTGAAATTTCGAGATTGTAATCCGAACATACATAACAAAAGATTTGCGTATCCAAACAAAAATATGCGGAATTCCACATTCCCAGAACTTGTCGCAGTACTTATTCGGAATAGGGAACATTTCGATGTTTTTCAAATATGTTATAGAACGCGACATTCGAAACAAATTTTTCGTATACATTTAACCCTCGCTAGACTTTACTTTCCGAGATATATGCAAAATTCTGTCGGTACTACTACGTTAAGGGGGTCTTATACTGTAAAACGCGTTTTTTTTGTTTTTTTTTGTAGTTTTTATTATAATGAAACTATACAACTTCTTGCATCGGTATCTTGCATATATATTTGTCAGTCTTTCAATAATATTTAAAAATTTTTCAAAATTAGTGGTAGTACAGAGCCTTATATGCAATTGCGTATTGAGAAAGTGTTCTCATGGTTTCCACGATTCCAGCCATTCTGTTTCTTTAAAAGAAAAAGACGAAAAAGATTCTTGACATATACATTTTATAATCTAATTAAAAAAGTGGTAGTATTTTGAAGTTATAAGATATTTCTTGTTGTTTTTAACATTAGCAGGCTAGACAAAAATAGAACAAATAATGATTTTGACTTCAATGTGCGATGGGCTATAGCGACACATGTACTGAGGGTACATGCTTTGAACGAAATCGGTCAAGTAGATCTTGAGGTATCATGGACGTCAATTCAGAAAAGATAGTTTTGTGTCAAACCGCTCAAGCAGGTAGAGCTCGACCGAGAAATACGTATATCTTCGTTAATTTATTTCTAATAACTATATTCTTTAAGAGAATGCAAAAAAAAAATAGAAGTTTTTGGCGGTTTACAGTAGAAGACGCGTACAGTGTGTACGACAGTGTTTGGCAAGTGCTTATTTACTGTTACTGTAAATACATCGGCAGTTCACAGTCGATGTAGTTTCTGAGGTATTTGTAAAATTCCATATCGTACGACGAGAAAAAATATAGTACAACCATAACCTGACTCGAAAAAACTAATATTGTTTTGGTAGTACTCCGACTATGTACTGTGAACTACTGATGTATGTATTTCTAAAACAAGAGCCAAGCGGTTGGCTGCAAAGCTCTGCTGCTGCGCTGACGCTGACGTATATGTACATGTACAGTCATAATTCAACGTAGTAGTCAAGATTTTGCAAATATCTGGGGAACTAACAACTTCTTCTGAAAATTATCGAAATCGATGAGGTGTCCCTTTTTCCAAACAAATATTTTGTTACATATGTTCCGAAATTTCGACGGAGTCGAAACGATGCATTTTTGTTTTAACAATGAGTTTAAGTCTATAGCTTTCATAATGTTGGAAAATGGAACAACGATTGAACATTGAATGCGTTATTCGCTTAGATCCATCGTTAGTGTCACTCTCTGCATGGTCTGCCGACAACTTAAACCCATTGCTTGTATCGAAACTTGCATCGCAACAAGTATCAGCGTCGGTAGGCCGCTTCAGAGATTCTTATTCTTGGTAGGGTCTCTTGAGAGGAAAATTCTCCATCGAACACCAGGTATTACGCGATCCTTTTCGAAGCTACCTAGCTCTCGAAACCCGATCGTTCGGCTTCCTGCATCGGTAGAGCGTACGTGGAAGCGAAACGGTCGGCATTCCAGCGCGCGACGCGACTTTCTTCGAAACGGGAAGAGGTACATTGGCGTACCGAACGAGTTCCGCTGAAAAACTCGTAGATTTCTTTATCGTCGACCAGTCGGACAGCTGGGAGGAAGTCCCCATCCGGAATATCCGCGCCCTTCCAACGCGATGCGTCGCTTATCTCAACTCCGGTACAGTTTATCTTCACTAGTACACGCACCGTACTTGCTCCCTCGTCCTTCCTTGTCCTCTTTTATTCTTTGTGCTACGTCGCGATTCACCACCGCGCCGTCATCGTCATCCGTCGTCTTCGTTGGCGTTTCCTGCTCTTTCTCTTCTTTCGTCGCGCGTTACGCAATCAATCGTAGCCCCGTTACAAGACATCCTACAGCTCGTGCCCGGAAGTCGCGAGACGTCGACTGATCGGAAAGTACGACCGGACGCGACGTAGCGAGCACCGTATTCGAACAAGATACAGTCCGGGACAAAAAGATAGCGTGCCCCATTCGTTTCCTACTCGCGATACTCTTTACGTCAAAGAAACCATCAGCAACCTCTGACGAGGACGTATCAAGATTTAAACAAGCTCTTTTCGATCAGTACGATTTGGAAAGAAAGACTGGAAGAAAAGACTATTCTTTTATTATAGTCGTGTCACTAGTGAATAACATTCCTGTAAAACCGTCCTTGTAATTTATTCGTTTTTGTCGACTTTATTTCCTTGAAAATAATGCGAACAAACGAAATTAATGGAATCTTGTTTTGTCTTCCAGCGAACGCCTAACCGTCACAGAATGTCTCCAACACACGTGGTTTAACATGTTCGACGATCCTCAGCCACCTCCTTGTACAGTCAGCTGTCCAACGTTAGACCAGTCTACGATCGAGACGACAACGACTACGCAGGAAACGAAATCAACCACGATAATCACGGAATCATCGACGGCGCTGTCATCGACTCCAAAGAACGACTCGGAGAAACACGGTCAAAGGTCGTCGACCACAAACATCTGCCAAAGCGCAGATTCGAAGACAGTGGTGACTCGGGCCGTGTCCTCGCATACGGAAAACTTGTATTCGAAATCGAAGTTATCGACGAAACCGATCAGATTTGGTCTGAGTCCCGATCGCAGGGACACCTTCAAGAGGAACATGGACTCTCTGGCGCAGAAATTTTCCGGAACTGAGATCGTGATCATCGAGTCAGCGACGTCTACCGGTGCGAGCGTCGCGACCAACGCGGTCACCGGGACGCAGAGGAGGGCGACGGCAACGCACACGATGCCAGCTGGAGAAGTGTTCAAATGCACGCCCGTGTTCATTCTGGGCGAGGAGCAGCAGTGCAGCGACAGTGGCAGCGACACCGTCTCCGAGATCTCGACGGACAGCTCGAGCGATCGAAGCAGCATCTACTCGGACGATTCGCTGGATTTCATTCTGTACGGAAAGAATCAGAGTAGAGCCAGCTATCCGTTTGCGGCGACAGATTCCACGTCGGACAGATGGGAGTCGAGGCACCAGCAGCAGCATCACGCGAGGGTTTGGCCCAAGGTGTGCAACGGAGTGGTGAGCAAGGTACTCAGCCGTTTCTCCTCGGAAACGACGAACGCGAAAGTCGCGAAGATGTCGAGCCCGGCGACGATGCAGGGAAAGACCAGTCTGGAAGCACTTCGGGAACGAGGAGGCAACCTGGTGGTGATCCGGGAACCCGTCAGAGCCGGCAGGTACACCAGGTACAGCGAAGTGCAGTGCGAGTCGGTGAAAGCACGGATTCGACGGTTCCAAGTTCACGGAGCCTCGTAGACAGGAGGCTATCTTATCCGTGACGAGCTTCCTTGAGCAGCTTCCAAGTCTCGAGTCAGCGATTGGACGATCGCAAGACTCGTTGTACATATAATTTACGGTGTACAGTATAGTTCGGTATCGCGCGTCACGAGGAATCGGTACTCGATCGAAATTAGCTGGCCAGATATCGCGCCGAAAGCGTTACAAAGAACGCGGTACAGTTTTAAAGAACAGGCTGTGTTCCTCTTGCTGGAGAAGCAAAGATTAGCTCGAGTAAATGTTTGTTTGTTCGGCGTAAAACATAACAATTCTGTAATCGAAACATTCATTTTTTATCGTCGTTCGAGATTTTTAACTAGATGCGAATTTGCCCGTCTCCTTCCGGGGAGACGTCGTTTCCGCTCAGGATGTGTCTGTTACGGGATACTCTGTTTCAGCAAGTGCTTGTAAATAAATAAAGAGAGAAATGGCGCGAGTACCGATCGTTCGTAACGAGCGTTGTAAATATTCGGACGACCGAGATTCTACGAGAGGGAAGAACAGAAATCGACAACGGGTCGGTGTTGCTCGCGGCGTCGAATTTCGAGGGTTTTATCGTACAATAATGCAACAGTGAATCGAAGATTAGTCGTTGTAAATAAGAGAGATTGGATTCGAGATGGCAGGGTCTTTTTTTTTTTTGTTTGTTTTTGAATGATTGAGCGATAGAATGCGAGAGAGCGAGACACGTCGTCCGGCAGCTCGTTGTCTGCCATTACCGATAGACTGACTGGTCTGGTCGTCCGTTCAAGCTGAATGAAAAATGAGCGGAATGCGAGTTGCATCGAGTCGCTGGCGAAATGAAAGTCTGCGCCGCGAAAGATCGTCGCGTCTCGGTACTGCGCAGGTCACGAACCTCGCAATTATTACGTAATCTAAAAAATGTCAGGCATATGTCAGACTTTGCTCGGAATTCCAGAGTAGCGACGATCGTTTACTCGCGAAAATTAGCACTAGGTCAGAGTCGGGCAAACTTTATTCACGAATAACGAATAAAAACGTTAAATTTGTCAGTAAACTAACTTCTGTATCGTAACTTACATATCGTTCGTAAATTTATTTGTATACTAGATCCATTAGTGGATTTTTTAAACTTACACGCAGACGAGTAGGAGCTAGTTTTACGAACGAATTGAACATTTTCATTTGTTGGTTGCGAATAAAATTTGCTCTGGCGTCTGGCGCTGGCTCGCTCAAGCAACTCGGTGCCAGCCGGTGAATTCGCCCAACTAGCCATAATCGTAATCGATCATCGCGATATTAGTAATCGAAATTCGATAACTTTGGTGCCTTTAAAATAAGCGTTAAGAGCGGTCGTTTTTTAGTCGTTTACTAAAAATATTCGAACGTTTGCGATTAAAAATTATAAACCAATGCAATTTTAAGGCATTAATACTGTTGGTAACAAGATCGATCGATAATGATGACATTGGAAAAATTTCAAGAAATTCTGGTATCTTTCTTGCAGTTTCGATTGGAAGCGTTCGAACATTTTTGCGAACTCGTATCGCGCAATATATCTGAACAAAGTCAAGTGGCCGTCGAACGAAGATACGATAGAACGATTAATGCACGATAAGCTACTGAAAGTATTGGAAAGCTACTGTAAATTGGATTATTTTTCATTAGAATGGTTACTTTGGTCGTTGCAAAAATTTTCTGCCTCACTTTTTTTTTTTACAATAATCACAGCTCTACTGTACCGTATTTTATCTTGTTCGTGTGTACCTGCAGACCCCTGGTCCCTGTAGCTTGATTTATTTAAAAGTAGCAGTGCAGCGATCGGCAGTCAGACGAATACGACGTTGAGGCTGTCAGTTGACTTTGTTCCGAACCGAACATTCACGTGTGCACGTGGTTACGCGCGTATTGCGAGCGCAAACGCACACTCGTAGTGCCTACGTTTTATTTTTGTCCCGCTCGCATCGTCGTGTCTTTGCCACGTAAGTATGTTACGCGCCGTTTGGAAGAGCGTCGGCGATGCGAGCGAGTCGATACTTTTAAGAAGACTCGACGAACGAGCAGAGTAACCTCTCCAGTTCGCACAGTGCCTTAGCCTTAGTACGGGAAATTTTTACAGATCGCGGCGTCGATCGATCGAAAATTGAGAGCCTAGACTAGCTTTAGGCGTCTCCAATTCTTCTCGCTAGTTCGACAGCGTCTCCCGAAGGAGATCAATTAGACAATGCGAGTTCATTCGGCGCTGTACACTCCGCGGTATCGCCCACTGAAAGAAGCTGGGTTCCCTTTTTCGAAGCGTTTTTTTTTTTCTTATTCTGCACCCAGATATTACTGCCTCTCGACGCGTCCGAAGACGCACCAGAACGACTGCCGTATATTAGATCTACATATTAGATCGATGAAACCTAAATACCATCGAGAAACATGGGGACGAGTCTTACTCGCGAGAATTGAACAACCACGGGCTGCTCACTCGTCGAATATAGTCGCGATCTTTTCGACTCCGTGAATCAAATATATAAATAAATATAAATATATATATTTAGATATGTTAGCTTCGCGGACATCTGCGTCGCGAAGCGTAGTCGAAGTGATAGGGCGAACGCTAAAAATCTTGCGGAGCGCGTACTTCGATGGTCGAAGGAAGCGCTCCTTGAATGCTAGTCATAAATGTCGCTCGTCTTCCTCTTGGAATTTGATCGCTCCCTAGCGATTCCTAGCGAGACCTAGGGTCGAAAGGATTCCAAGGGGAGGGACGAGCGAGCGATCGAAATGACGAATCGCACGTCGACGCCGTTAGAAACGATTCGACCGACCGATTCAAAATTCAGAATCCTTTGTGTACGTTGGAACGCGCACAGCTGAAAGAACGTGTCGCGGAGAAGTGTGGCGAAATTTAGCATAATTGAGTGCATCGACGGCGACACTGGTAACGACGAACTTCCTTTAGCGCCTAACGGAATAGTGGGGAAAGCAGAGACATATTATTTTTTACTGTACCTATCAAAATGATTGCGTTTAAACGGCTGAACAAATTTCAATAAAGCTTTGCATTTAACTTTTATGTTCTCGTTTGAAAGTCTATGTTAGGTCCGGGTACCTGGGTACATAGGTGCAGCACAAAAATTTCTTTTTTTTAAATAGTCACAATATGATCAGGGAGTCTTGAAACGTGTATTTCCGTTAAAAATAATTGTCGAAATTTGTATTCAGTATAGTACCTTATACCTACATAGGTTGAAAAGTAAAATCGAAATCGTATGCTGATTGTCGCGGGTCGAATTTCAGCTGTTGTAAGAGCAAGAAGGAGAGACTCACAATCGCCTTCTTTCTCGATTTCCCGAAGTTGCGCGAAGTGCCGAGTTCACGTACTTACACGTGGCTCGTGCGATAGCACTCCGTTAGGCGCTAAAGGAAGTTCGTCGCTACTAGTGTCGCCGTCGATGTAATAAATTACGCTAAATCTGGCCACATTGATCGCTGGTACGCTTGCGTATCGATGATTTCTCAAATGGCTGACAGAACGCCAGAGAACAACGGTAAAAATGGGAGAAAGAATCGAGTGATCGCGATCGTCATTTCCGCAAGAGCTGAACCTCGTAGATCGAGGAGCCGCTACAGAATTTGACAACCACGAACATTATTACAGGCGTTCGTCCGTTGAAATTCTGAGACGCACACGGAGGCACACGCGGACGCACGATCAAGAACGCTATAGCATCGCTTCGAACGAACGATATCCCGTTTACGGGATGCGCGCGATCAGCGAACGAAACAGAGAAAGAGAAAGAAAGAGCGAAAGTAAGTCGCGTGAATTTATGAATGCCTCTGAAAATCAAAGGAAATCATAGAGACCTGTAATATAGTTTTGCTACTATAGGAGAGGGGGGCGTGAGTCCGAGCGATTCGATTCACCGTTTCACGAGGTCAATTCGTCCTTATTTATTTCCGTCTACTTTCTGTTCGGTATCGTGTATTTAATTACTTTGCATTCGCGTTTTGTTTGCGTGGCGTTTCTTTCATTTGGTTCGGCCTCGCACGAGAGCGTACGTTTCTATCTTTCACATGGACACGCCCTGCTCTCCGACTTATTCAAGTATCATCATCATTATTATTATTCTTATTATAATTATTATTATTATTATTATTATTATTATTATTATTATTATATTGGTATTATGTTATCGCTGTAATGTTATTAATATTGAAGTTAATTACGATGAAAAGAATCGCGGATGTAGCTACCAAGACCTTCTGTAAATATTTCTGTCATTCTGTATTAATTTTAATAACGTATGAAATAAATGCCGCGTATCAGTCGAAAACGTCAATTTTCATTGCTGCGACTCACTACTTGGACCACGGCTCGCTTCGTATCAACATTCTAGTACATGGAAGATTTTATCAGGAACGTGAAAGAGCACCTAAGGCACCAGTGGGTCTCACAATTGGTATGGAAGCAAACCGGTTCCAATGTACAAATTATGCCAAGTTCCAATCTCACTAGCCCATCTGATCCCTGTCCTATCCTAAGTTCAATGTTTATCGTAAGAAATATGAAATTGGACAGACAATTAAAGATAACACCGAAATAACAAAATTCAGGATCTCCTTGAGTACATTAAAGCAACCAAGATTCTCAACTAAATAGTATAATTTATTAATACCGTCGCGTCTCAGGATTAAAGTTTGTCGACAAATAGATTGCTCTCTTCGACGCTAGATCGTTTTTATTGGCAAAAATTCTTAGCGAGACGAAGAGAAAAAATGTGTACAGGTAGATTGGCGATATAAGCACAGACGAGTAGACCTTTCACCTAATGTAATTTTTCGGCCCGAGTTTCTGGGGTCCCGGGACCCCATTACCATTTTCGTGTCACTCGCAACGTTATCAACAGATTCAGAAATTAACACAAGAGGAAGTGAGACAGAAAATAAAATTACATAAATTTTATTATTTTTTAACGGAATTAAAGCTGTAGGGTTCATCATTGGACATTAATCGATTAATTTCATTGGAGTAGTCAATCGATTAAGATTATTTAAAAATTTCAAGATTATTAAAATACCTAAGCATGTATTTCATTGATACATACACCGCAAATTCTCTATTTTTTATTTTAAATTGTAATACATCATTTATTAAAAAAATAACTAGGCAGAAACCTATTTGTGACTCGAAATCAGTGTTATCAGACTATGCATCGGGGCCCCGGAAACTCCTCATTCCTCACTTTCGCACACTATGCCCAATTGCGTGTACGTGAACTCGTTGAGTTTCGGAAGAGCCGAGCAGAACAAGCTGATACTCGCTTTCCTTCTCGCTCTTGCATCGCCTCGTATACATCGCCTGTGGCAATACGCTCATGTTTATCGTCAAATAGTTCGTTATTTTCAACGATAGATGGCGCTTATTTTCGACCTTGTGGGGTCGAGACTTATGGTCTCGTCCGCACAAGAGTATAGGGGAGCAGTTTCCCGTCAAGTGCGAATCCGCCGTAAGGCTGCGCGCGCAGCGCAGCAGGGCGAAAGCGCGTCCTCCCAAAAATGCAAGGACGCTCAAACCCAGAGATGCCAGAAAAGCACCGCCGGGTGCACACGCATACATGCCAGATACGCGTACATGAGCTCGTGGAGTTTCGGAAAGTCGACAAAGGCAAACTGACGCATGCCCTCTTTCTTGATTCTCCGAAGCTGCCCGAAGTAATTTCGGATCGCCTCGTGGGAGTCGAGAGAGAAAGGCTCACATTTGCCTTCTCGCTGTAAACAACTGAAATCCGACCTCCCGTCAACGGCATACGATTTGGATTCTCGAGCCGAGATTCTCGACTGCCCAGGCATTTTTACTTTCCGACCTATGTAGGCGCACATAAGCAAAGTACCCATAATGAAAAAAAAATTTTGTAAAATTTATTTTACGGAAATACACGTTTTAAGACCTCCTGATCATATTTTAATTATTGAAAAAAAAGAAATTTTTTTTTATTCCCATGTATGAGCACACATATGTATATTATTAATACGATTTTTGAAAATCAAAATACTTTAAGATTGAAAATTAATAAATTAAAATGAGATTCCACTCTTTACCAGTATTGTGCATGCTGTGGTATTTTTCAATAAGAAGAGTTCTTACTTTTATAACATAAACAAAACAGTAGAATTAATAATTGCAGAAATTAATTAATAATGATTTTCCTCGATTGTTTTGAAATAACCGTATCAATTGGTTATGACGAACTAAATAGAACTAACTAGAAACAAAGGAAAAGTGATCCCGTTTGCCAGTTTAATACAAAGTATGGGTTGTATCTTAAATTTTAAAAGGACATAGTCGAATATTTTTAAAGGTACAAAACATAGCGTTTCATTGTAGAACAGTAACATAAGTTAGCAGGTAATGTCATAAAACTGTTTTTCCCAGCTATATCCCTTTTTACCTGAAGTATAAGGTAAAAAGTACGAGCTACAAGGTACGACAATCCGAAAATCGTTCACATTTGATCAATGTAAATGAAGCGGCCTTTCCATCAGAGTTAAATACAAAATTTTGTAATTTCTGTGAAAACAAAACTTTCAGTAAATGTACGTGGTGCTTGAAATTTTTATGTTTTGACTGTTTTTGTGAAAAGTACCATCCAGATTCATGTACTTCGTACATTGAAAATAACATATGTTAAATGTAATCGGTTAAATTTAACTTTAAAAAAAAATATTCGAAGGTCAGACAAAAATATAATGTCATATTTAGTGTACGATTAAAGTATGATTGAAAAAATAAAAAAAAAAAGTTCAAGCAGGGTTCGAACCAGCAGAGCAGAAGAAATTCGGAACTTGCAGGCAAAGACCTCATCACTCACGCCACGCTGATTAGTGGTGAACATAGTTCTATTTCTGAAAATAAGTACCTGTAATAACTTTAATAATATCTCAAAGTAAAACCTAACCCAAAATCGGGTACCATTCCAACTTTTCCTTGTTAGAAACGAGTTTTCAATTTGTCTTAGCGAAAATCGCAATCACATTTTGCACATTATTCTAAAACATTTGTGGTATTCATTTTTAATGCGATTTAAGTAAGCATGTAATGTATAAGATTTCATTTAATGATTTCTTTTCTAGAGAAGATAGAGAAAAAATTTATATAATTTTTTTTATATAAAATTTAGTTCGTCCTAAGATTTATATGAAACATTTAAAAGATTTTTTATAAATTATGTCTATATATCGGAACAACTATGAAACAAGAGGTATAATCTGTAAGGAGTGTATGTGTGTGGCTAGGAGAACCGTTATCGTTTGCGTCGATAGGAGTGTTTAGTCTAAGCTAGAGTAGGTATCGAGTGAGGTGTTTAGGTTTAAGCTGAAATACGTTTTAGAGACTGCGTCTCGAACGTGCGTTTTGTTTAGATCATTATTATAAGATAGGAATAAGGAAGGGTCGACTTTGACTGCAGGAACGTCACTTTGTATCGAACGTTAGTCGAGAGCAATCACAGTTTTACGTTTATGATCTTTTACGTTTACGATTTATGTCTTTCTTTTATGTTCTTTATGTTAAATAGTTAGTAAATATTAAATAATATAATTACATCGTTACGTTTAGTGTTCACGTATTTGAATCCGTCCACACGCCTTTGAAATGAGAACATAAAACTTAAATGTAAAGTTTCATTTAAATTCATTCAGCTATTTATATTCAATCGTATTAATAATATACATGTGTGCTCATACATGGGAATAAAAAAAAATTTCTTTTTTTTCAATAATTAAAATATGATCAGGAGGTCTTAAAACGTGTATTTCCGTAAAATAAATTTTACAAAATTTTTTTTTCATTATGGGTACTTTGCTTATGTGCGCCTACATAGGTCGGAAAGTAAAAATGCCTGGACAGTCGAGAATCTCGGCTCGAGAATCCAAATCGTATGCCGTTGACGGGAGGTCGGATTTCAGTTGTTTACAGCGAGAAGGCAAATGTGAGCCTTTCTCTCTCGACTCCCACGAGGCGATCCGAAATTACTTCGGGCAGCTTCGGAGAATCAAGAAAGAGGGCATGCGTCAGTTTGCCTTTGTCGACTTTCCGAAACTCCACGAGCTCATGTACGCGTATCTGGCATGTATGCGTGTGCACCCGGCGGTGCTTTTCTGGCATCTCTGCTCAAACCACTGCTTACTGCTTGGTAAGAACTTCGCGAAGAAGCACCTCAAAAAGATTAAGAGTAAAACTCCTGTTGCT